AGAGAGAGAGAGAGAGAGAGTAGTGATGCAGTATCATGTGACCCCAAACTGAAGCGGTTCACTAAACTACTGTCGTCCTGACTTCTGTGGCACATGTTCCTGTAACTCGCGAGTGCACTCAAAGACCCTGGAAAGCTTGCTGCAACAGAATTGTCAGGGCCTCCGCCTCCTCGCGAAGCTCAAGAAGCAGCTCGATTGCGCCTTGCCAGTTCTCACCCCGGGCGCACGCGCCGATGGCCGCGCAGTAGCTGATCAGCGTGGCCTTCCCAACTCCCAACTCTTGGTATAAGTAAGGCTCGGCATGTTGGGGGGAACCTGTTTTCTGGTTGTGGAACGAATTGAATAGATTCCTGGGCCTAAGTACCACAGAGGCTCTCAGGGCCTGAAGCCCACGCTGCCGTAGCTGGGCCAAGAGCTGCAACGCTTGCTGCCATCGCCGAGCCTTCTCCAGAGCACTGCCTTTGCCGGGGGAGTCGCCAGAGCGGGGTTGGCCCGCTTTGGAGTGAGGGACCTACGAATGCGCGGTAGACAGTACTACAGCTTCGTGGAATTCCAGAAGCCTCCAAGCGGCTTCTTGGCTCGGATGTCTAGGGCTGTCCTCCCTACATCGGGATTGCTATGGATGTTGAAACGCCAAGGCTTTTGGTTGGAGGCAAGCATTGTCGGCCCAAACCATGGAGCAAGGCTTTTCATGGCGATGGTCCGGCAGGACCGATGACTCAAAAGCATGCCAACATCTCAGCGATGCAAATTTGTGAGAACTGCGCAAATACGGAGCTGACCGACAGAATCCCACCTTCTGCGACAGTCTCAATTTCACTTGGGCCCCCCCGATCCAAACATGGTGCCAATCCCAGAGGCAAGCTGAATCCTGTCAGGAACCTTTGGCAAGGACATCTGTGCCTGAACCCGATCGGGCCAAAACTTCCTTAGTCTATGACACCGTACATACTGACAGGCCCAGTACCTCTCCAAAGCCAAGTGCAGCCCAGACACAAGCAGAGTTGTAGGTGATGGCGTTTGCTTGGAGTGTTCCCTCTTCTGCCTTCAATGTAGGGTCCATGGGGGTGCCCACCCAATCATCCGAAAGGCAGTGGTGTCTACGGCCACATGCTGTTGATACTGCGGATGACCGTGATGATGTGATGATGGTGACGATGGCGGTGCTGAAGCTTATTCTGATGCTGATGCTGAGGATGAGGATGATTGCGGTGGCGATGACGATGACGATGACGATGAAAAGGTACAGGCAAGCGTGATTGAGAACAACAGACACCCTGTGTTATTAGCCATGCAAGAGTTGCGTTCTGCACACAACAGCAACACGAAGGCCCACGGAACACCGTCTCTCCCTCACCGACCCACACTGAAAAGGTTCTGGGGAGCCTGCTTGCACTGAGCGTTGCCGGCGAAACTCCAAAGTTTAGAAACAAAAAACAAAGTACTTCGCAAGAAGAAACCGTTTGTTCATTCCATCCTCGCCTCTTTGAGTTTTCGAAGAAAAACCCGTCCACTTGGCCTCCCGGAAGCAAAGCTACGGCGTGGACCCGTGGCCTCCCGGAGAAGCTGCAGGGCGCCCTGCCAATGTGAGCCTTTCTCGCAAGCGCTGACAGCTGCGTTGCGGGCGATGAGTGTCCTTGGGAGAGCAGCAGCAGCAGCAGCAGCAGCAGCAGCAGCAGCAGCAGCAAGCCTTTTTTGGGCGGGTTTTGCACCGCTGACGCGAAAAACACTCCTCCCAGGTCCAAGGTGCGCCTGCATCTCGCTTTGGCACTCTGCAAACAGGGCCACCGCGCGCTGCCAGCGCCTGCAAGGTTGAAGGCTTCGGGCTCGGCTTCGGAAGGTCAGAAAAAACCTGCACATTGCAACTTCGAAGAACCACATGAAGGTCCGGCATCTCATAAAGTTTGGAGTTTCGGTAGCCTTCAACACCGTGTCGGGTGCTATGTTGCGGCTCGGGTGCTCTCAAGTATGAATTCGGGAATCTTGCTCTTTTCCGGATGTCCCTCGCCCGCAAGTCGCAGAAACCCAGCACATCCCAATCTCTTCTTTACCGACCCGAAACTGTCGCCAATGGGCCAAGGCAATCTTGAACGGGCCTTTTAAAGTGAACAACCTTCGGTCTTGAATTTTGGGCTCAAAAATTGGAGCACAAGCGCAAAACACATTGTTGAGCCTGCTTGTCTCACAGGCGGTTATAGCTGCTCCGTAAGAGATCGCCGTCCGTTCCAAACCGCACCTGCTCGCAGGGCAGTCGGAAAGAATGAAAACGAGCACTCTAACGCGATGCCCTGACGGCAGGGATACTAGAGAGCATGACAACGAAATAACAATGAAACAAAATCCTTCGTACTCGCAACCGTGCTGACAATGAAGGTGTTCGTGGCAAGAAAACCATTCACAAAATATGAAGGTGATAGTGATGAGGGCGGATGAGAGACCAGGACAGCCGTCGCGATTGTGTATACATATATAAAGAAAAATACACGATGTACCGATTTACTCTTCTTCAAATAATCAATGACTCACTTCATTGGTTGCTTAATTAATCCCTGTCCCTTCCCCGGATTACTAAACCTCCCCCCGAAATTGCGCTTTGTTTTCGGGGAGCATACGGCACGGAATGGGCCCGAACAGGAATTCAAAAGGGCCAAGACTACCATACAATTAAGCGCTACTGGGGGAAGGGTTTTGAATAAAGCACTGAGCAAGAAGAAGACTCATAGCCAAAGTCCTTAATACCAAACATTTTTTTCACACTATGTATGGCATTGCAGGGGATTATATGATGGGGGAGGAGATCAGTAAACTAACTAGTTCGTTTGTTGGCAAAACGATGATTGCACATTCAAGAATTCAATATTCAACGTAATGGTTGGCTCAATAGTTCGCGAATAACGATCGTGGCCAGCGACCGCATCACCACCACCACCACCGCCAAGACTGATATCAGCTTGATATTGCCATCAGAGCCAACATCATCATCATCATCGTTGAATCATCATCATGAATATCAATATGAATGTCAGCAACATTACATTGAAAGGCGCAAGACAGCCTTTCCTTGCGAGAGACCGCGCGGGCCTGGAGAGCCTCCGAAGCAGCTCCAGAGCTCGCTCCCACTGCCTTGGCTTCGCGAACGAACTGCGGATGAGTTGTTCTGGTAGTAGCCGTGGCAGTACTAAGGAGTATGAGAGTAGTGGAGTAGAACGAGTAGTATCGGCAGTAGTAGCAGCAGAAGCAGTAGTAGCAGTAGTAGCAGTAGTAGCAGTAGGAGTAGCAGTAGCAGTAGCAGCAGCAGTAGTAAGACGAAATCAACCTCTCCTTGAGACCTCAATGGCAAAAAACCTTCCCCCTGTTATCCCCTCCTAAACTGCCAGTATGGAGTCAGTGCTCAGAACAAACCCCGAAAAAGCCCCTGCGAGAAATCTTCAATCCGTCTAGCAGCTCACCACGAGCGCAGGCAGAGATGGCGACATTGAAGCCTGCAGACGCCAGAACCATTGTTGTGACGAAATTGGGAACCCATCCCTGCTCAGAAAACAAGACTGCACCACCCCGACGACAGTTCTGTCAGACACCGTGATTACCGGCCCTAGTTACGCAGTTTCTGTCGTGCGTGGCTACAGGACTCGCCATTAGGAGCAACCCAAGAAGCACCCAATCAATCGTTAGCGTTGCGTGCTGGAAGGGGTCTTGCGCACATGTCTAACAGGGAAGGTCAATCACAAAAATGGTGAAGCCACACTGAAGCTTGAATGGCAGCTGCCCTCATTTGCAGCAACACGGGCTGTAGAAGTCGGGCCACTGGCTGCCGACCTTTCGAGTCGCCTCTCTGACAGACCGGCCAGGAGAAGAACCTCAGCTGGTCACGTTTTCCCATGAGAAAACAAAATAAGCACGTCTAGGAGCACCTCAGCAGGTCCCCTTCTGGGTAGGGGAAGGCTTGAGGACCTCGGAGGGACTCTAGGGGCTTCTCGGAGTTGTCTTCCCAGACCTTGAAGGACGAACACCAGGGGTTGCAAGACTGCCGTGCAATCCATTCTAGGCAGGTTTACAAAAGCTTGATCAAGGGGGGTGCAGGCAGCACGCAAAGGCCGACAACAGCTTTCTGGGAACCGGTTTCAGGATTCTAGAATTGCACGGAAGGGGCCCAGGGCATTCTGCTTCGTCGGATTCATCCTTCAGATTGCGGGGTAGTTTGGAGCGCAAGCCGGAGGATTGGATCTTTGAGTCTTCGAGGGTTCGATGATCGATGGTCCGCTGCAGCTATCGTCAGTCGTTCCCGGGCGAGAACTTGCTGACTTAGGTACAGGGCTTCAACATGTTGGAGTCTTTTGGTGCCTTTCCTGGGGCACAGCACCGTAGCCAACACAGATATGTCGCAGCAATCAAGTTGGCTGCGAGGGAGCAAATACGAAAGAAGCGACTTGAACCACGTTTCCGAGGGAGCCGGTCCGGTCCCTCGAATCCGGGGGCCGAAAACCAAACACTCCTGTCGCTTGGGGATTCTGCATGGAAGTTTGGGGCTCCAGCGCAACAGGCTTGGGAGTACTTCAACGGCCCTCGCTTCCGCTAGATTTCGGAGAAGATGCTACAGGGGTCAAGAGTATCAAACATCAACTGTATGCCGAGCTTCGTTACCTTCTTCCTGCCCATGCGACAGTGCATTGCAACATGCTCTGCATTGCTCTGCACTCTTTCAGATGTGCCGCTCAAGCAAGGTCTCTACACTGAGAGGCTCAAAGCCCATCTCATCTGCAAAGTCGTGCATTAACTTCACGTAGTCGTCCTTGGAGAGCTTAATCTTGGCAGCAGGATCACCTTTCACCACAAAGAACTCTCCCTGCCCAGCCCGACACTCGAAGTCAACTTCTGGGCGTGTCTGATATCTAAGCCCGCGCTGGTTCTCTCCGATCCAGAACTCTACGATTCCTTGGAACTGCATCTTGGGCTCCTGGGGTGGCACAGTGTGTGTTTGTGCCGTGATCAGGCCCCGGTCATAGTAAAGGTCGTAGGGATCAGCGTCGCTCTCAAACAGCTTGCTGCTCAGAACGACTGATTCGATCATCAAGTAGCGCCATCCCTGCTCATCAATCGCCCAAGGGTAAGGTACATCGTTGTTGCCCACACGTGAGACATACGCCGTTATGCGCGATTTCGCCGTAAAGGCGAACACGACCACTCCAATAAACACATACTTCAGACCCCCCACGTGCAGCAACACCGAGTTCCCATCAAAGATGGCACCATGCTTGGGGCATCGTCCGACCAAGACCCTCTCGGCAGAAAAGGAGACACAGGCCCTGTCTTCATAGCTTGGCAGGACATCACCATCATACTGGAGACTCTTGAAGACCTACGGGTTTCTCAGGATATGGATTGGACGCCATATGCCCCAATAAAAACTGGGGCTACTTAGGGTTTAGGGTTTAGGGTTTACTAGAGAAGTAGGGAGTTTCCGAGATCTCCTGCCTGGACCTCGGCCGTTGGACCCGGCCACTGCACTTCCACCTCGAAGGGACGGAGACGAACGTGGAATTTCCCGAACTAAGCTGACCTCACAAACTTTCTAGACGCATGGACCAAGGGATTGCGAGTTCATTCTGACACTGTTTCTAGCTGTTCCAACCCACCAAGCATAGGATTCCTGATCGCTCCCCGGACCACAAGGAGCACAAGCACACACTGCAACGATGTTACCGGCGAGCTCCAACTCATTGGGACAAAAAGCAAATCAAGAGGGAGTTGAGTCAGGTTCTCGGCGTCTACATACAATAACATTTCCGAATATTGACCTCGGATGCTTGCGCTCCAAGTAGTTAAGCCATTGCTTCCACACACACCCGAAACCCCCGCTTTGGGCAAAACAAGCCTTCTGTGCTGGCCAATAGAAACTGCACCGTCTACTTCGGGGTGGTTAAGGGCGACTCTTGCCTTGAAGGGACGGCCTCCATTGTCATGAACGTGGAATGCACCTGCAGGCTTGCCGTCTGCACCTGGTTCCAGACTGGGCAAGCAGAGAGTCGAGGCTGCTTTCACATGATTTGGGTTGTTGAGTTCGAAGCATTTGCCCTGATTACGAGGAAGACAACATGGGACCAGAATGCGGCATGTCCCCCTACTCAACTAACAGCAAATTCAAAGCTTGACTTTGTTTGCTTGGCTGAGACACTTGCGGCTGCAGGCTTCTCTTGGGCAGGTTCTGCTGCCGCCTCCTCCGCCGGTCGCTTCATGTTGCACGGAGCACCAACAGAACCGCTGACCAGCGGATGTGAGCCGGAACAGCTTCAGAACTTCCCGACTCGGGCTGCAGCCAGATGCCGAAGTTGGGATGGGATCCTATACTATAAAGAAGGAGTTGCCCAGCACCTGTGTAACTTCCGAATAGAGATTCCCATGCCGGTAGAACAAAAACCCTTACGAACCGAACGTCCTCACAGACGGCACTTTGACCCAGGCGTTTCTCCACAAACGCCGCACGCACTGCACGGCTACCCGAGTCCCTTACACCCTGCGCCCTAGCACACTCCCTACGCAGGTCTAGCAGAAAAGCGGCACCAAGTCGTCCACAGCCCTGCGAAGAAACTGGTCCCTCCCCTGCAGACTCTGTGACCAGCCCCCTTCGCCCAGAATTAGCCGTTCGAGCCAAGGAAACCGCATGCTCCCAGTGCCCGCAGCGGTCGCATGCGCTGATGGCCGCATTGTAAGTGATGGCACTCCTCGATGTCCAGAAGTCCCTTCAATCTCCGTTACCGCCCCAAACCGCGCGCTGGGAGAAATTGGGAAACCCATCGCTCAGAAGACAGACACACTCAGAACGCAGTGCTGCCAACTGTTTCCAGCCCCACGGATCCGAGCTCAGTCTCAACAACCCCTGCTGAAGAGCAAAACATGCCTTTCGAACATTCCAAAAGCCCCACGTGTCCGTTGAATGACGAATGTCTCACCCTTGGAAAGTGTCTTCGGTTCCGTCCAAACGCTTGTCCGTCAACTTCGAAGACCAGTCGAAGGGCGATGGCCCCAGATTCCGGACACCAAAATAAAGCAAGGCGAACCCGAAACCCTCAACTCCAAGGCTCAGCCGGCAGAAAACTAGAGTCCATTCAACCCCCGGCAGAAACTCAGCGAAATCCTGCAAAAACACGGATTGGAACCCTGGAGAACCTTTACATCTCGGACCTAATGACCTGATGTCACACAGGAACAACTCAAGCTGAGGCTCCCTCGGCAATGGCCCTCTTCCAGGTCCTGGAGCAGCCTCGACAAGGATCTATGAACTAAGCCCAAGATTCTGGGCGCTAAGCCCGAAACCTTCTGATTCACGTTGGCTGAGTCGCAGATCCAGCTATGGGCTCTAATGAGGCATACCAGCGGTTCCACGGCCCCAAGTCGCACTTCGGGTCGAACCCAGACCTCAAAAATGAAAAGTGTGGGCCGCACCCAAATGGCCCGAAACCCAAAACTTCCAAAATTGCAAATACTACCCGGAGAAAGGCCATGCAACCCTGGAGAATTCCCACTCCACATCATCCAAGCCACAGCAGAGCCCGCTCCCACTGGCCCCCTTTCTCGCAGGCACTCACCACTGCGCCATAGGTGACCTGAAACGTCTGAAAACTCCTTGTCACCTGTCCTTCTCCTTGAACAACCAGAGCCATAGAGACTTAATGCAGAACCCCCGCAAAACAAGAAAGGCCCTCCGAGCCGAATTCCAAATGCGGGTTTCGTCGAAAGAGGGGCTCTGGGTGTGGCGTGAGTTTCGGTTGTTTGGGGGCGTTCCTTGAGGCTTCAGGGGCTCTGGAGGCTCACGGAATTGTACACAATGCCGAGCCCACCAAAAACCCAGATCAAGAGCGCACATTCCCATAACTGCCCTCAAAGGTTCTGAGCCGGGCACTAACATATGTTTGCGCTACGCCGTACTTCCTCTCCCCCAGACCCAGAACGCAGAAGTCCGCCTCCGTTGCCTCCAGCCCACTGCTGCGCAACTCCTGCACCACCCGACTGCGAGCCCGAAGGATCTAAGACACAGAGAAAGGCCCAGCCAGACGATACACTGCCTGGCAACGGTTGGAGGCTAAAAGCTGGGGAACCTAAACGCCAGTAACGACTAGCACCACCGTGCCCGATTCCCACCACCAGAGACAAGCAGAATTGAAGACATACAGTGACGTAATGGTCACCATCGCCAGCATCGTCGTCATCTCCAGCAGCAGCAACAGCCAAAACAAAGACGGCCTCGTGTCATCTTGGCATCGTGGTGGTCATTTCTGGATGGCTTCTGTCATGCGCCTGTTTCCATCTTTGTTGTTGTCGCCAACGCCACCTTCACCACAATCACCTGCTTCATCCTCACCTTCGTCCACATGTTCTTGTCATGATCGGTCTCTTCCTGAACAAACATCACAATGCTCGTGCCCGTAAACGCGAAAACTGATACAGGGCACCCTCAGTCCTCCAGCAGCGACAAAGCCACTCGCCAACGGCCGCACTTGCCGCAGGCGCTAATGGCAGCGTTGTATGTGATCACCTATATTGGCTCGAGATCACGAAGCTTCGGGTTTCGTTTGGGCTTGATGGATTCGTGATGGGTCTCAATGGAGAATTGAAATTCTCTCAGCTCGGAAGGTCCCTGCGCGGCAGCGAGCTGGCTTTCAGGAGCATCCCTCACCCGCCAACATAAAAGGAAGCTGAGCAAAAGGCGCCAAAGCCCAAAGCCGTCGACACTACCTGTGCCCGTATTTCCCTCTAGAAGATGACAAAAAACATCAATGCGCCACGACCACCACCACCGGCACTCCACCGCAACCACCACGATGACAACACGGTCTCGCCCGCAACACACTCCTAGTCATCCGAAGCCTATAGAATTTTTTGGTGTATGGGCGGGGCGCATTGCCAGTGAGCTGAAGCTTGTCGAGATGGCACAGCCTGGGATGCGCCAATTGCCATGCTGCAGCTACAGCATGGGAGGACTGCAATAAGAGAGCTGAAAGTTTGGTGGAGTAGTGTTTGGGAACTTAAGATGTTTACCCAGCTAAAACAACCTCGCTAGGTATCTCCACAGCTCTCAACACCTGAGGTGCAATGGATGGGTGTACCGACATCGTTTTGCCGACATCCTGGACTCAGGGGCCGAGGACACCGCCGAAAGGTTCACCGTTTCCGACCATAACTTGAGAGTTGCTGCTGCTCTGTGGATGTGAGACTTAGGGTGGACAGAATGCAATTTCCAACAATCTCCATGATGCGAAACTCAGCTGTTGGACGCTCAGTGACAGTTCCAGCGCCTGCGTCCACTGCTTGCCCTTTTCCTTAATTGCACATCATCACACTTCAACAGCATGGGGGTGGCGCAGGATAGCGGAAACCCTGTTCACGCAGCGAGTTCGCTCATGCTAGCGGAAACCGTGGCCTTGACCCTCATACAGCAAAGCCTCCGCTGCACGATGTTTGAAGCAAGCAAGGAAAAGTCAAGGTCGACTGTAGCTGGTATGGCAGTTACCTACGACTCACCGATGCACCACCTGACCGGTTTTGCAAGACGTGAGAATCATGTCAAACCTGTGATTTATGGCTGCTGCTGCTCAACGAACCATTGTCTGAACCGTTACGTGCGGAATAAGTATATATGTCAGATATAACAACGTTTGAGTAGGAGGATGTTCGCAACGACAGGCGTAATCGCTTTTCTATTGTCAGTATTGTCAACCACTTCAGCGTCGGAATACGAGGTTTGGAAAGTTCGGTTGTTGGATTTGCTCGGGTTGAAACTGTATAACTTAACTGTCTTAACTGACCTGCTAAACCAAACCAACAGCCAATTAAGTACCAAGTGCCACACCCTACAGCACGAACAACCACCGAACCCTGAAACCACAGACAAGCGATCTCAAACGATACCCTTCAGCCTCTCTTGTCGAACGCCAAAGAAACTAGTGTCGGCGTGGGGGGCGCTAATCCGTCTGTTCCACTCGTTCCACTCGATCCGACCGTTTCACTCGTTCCACTCGTTCCACCCGCTCCGACCGTTGCGCTCATTCCACGGCGGGAGTGGCGCGAGTAGCGCGAGTGGCGCGAGTGGCACGAGTGACGCGTGGCGCGGACGACTTCAATTCCTCGCCGTGCAGTCGCACTGTTCTGGGGGCGGCGCCAGTGAATCAATGTTCCAATCGTTCCACTCGCTCCGCTCGCCCTGTGCCTTGCCTGTTCCATTCGCCCATGTTGCCTAGCGGGACCACAGCCTCCAAAATGCAAACATCGCACGGGCTGTGACAAGGATACCAGCAAACTTCAATGAAAAAGCCAAAGGTTTAAACCCACCGCACGACAACCTAAAACGCAAATAATTAGCCGAAGCACGGCCACGTCGCCCTTGATAAAATCTCGGCCGCTCGTGACCACGCACTGGTTTGGCGTTAAGGATTCGCCATAATCGTAGCCACAGGTGGCTTTGACTGTGCAGGAGAACGCCGGCCTTTGATCAAGCATGCAGCTTGCACATGGACCCAAAAAACGCGCAAGCTGCAAGTTTAAGCGAGTGGCCACTGCAGCGCCGGTTTGTTAGCCCACTCAGCCTGCTGGTAGACCAGCTTCGACTCGACTGCCTGGAAATCAAATCCCTCCAACAGCTGTCCCCACAGCGAGAAGGGGTTCAACACATTACGTGACGTGCTAAACATGGCCGACAAGTCGACAACTAAGATGCGCATGTTTCTGCAACCATGAGCTTGTGACAAGAAACACGTGCTCCCAATTTCAAAGCTGCAGCGACGAAGTAAAGCTGACCCCCCTGTTCTGAGAAGCGCCGAAAGCTTTGAGGCCGGCAAAGAAGAAAAAGTCTGCACTGCAAGATGGAAAGGCGCGGGGCCACGAAGTCCAACGAACCCCAAATGACGAGTCAATTCTAGGCATATGGCATCTACCCGCTAGCTAGCTTTCCAAAGATTTTCAACAGAAACCTTCAGGCCCAAAATTAAGGAAGCTCGCCACACCA